GAACCCAGGAGGCGGAGGTTGCGGTGAGCCGAGATCGCGCCATTGCACTCCAGCCTGGGTAACAAGAGCGAAACTCCATCTCAAAAAAAAAAAAAAATAAAGTGTGGGAGGCAGCCCAAGCAAAGAGAATACAAAGATCTGAAGTCAACACAGTTCATTCATGAGACTGTATTTCAATAGAATACAGATACACGGAATTAACTATGAAGGGAGACTTTGGTCTCTTCAAAGATTTTGCCTCGGATCAAGTCACTTCACTGGTTCTGCCTCCATTTCTTATCTATAAAATGGAGGCCACACTACATGGCCATAGTTGTTAGATAATAATAATTATTATTATAGTAATAGTAACTTCCATGTATTGAATGTTTACTAAATGCCAAGCACATTTAATCATCACTTCAACCTATGATATGGCTACTGCTATTACCCCTGTTTTACAGATGAGTAAACTGAGGAGTACAGAGTCTAAGCTTTCCCAAGTTTAAACGAGGGTATTAGGAAGTGTCAGAACTAGGATTTGAACCAGTTCTATCTGATGCCAAAGTATTAGGTCATAAATGCTACATCAAAACATTAAAGAAATCTTTATTTTGAATGCCTGAAAGTTTTGTTATTATAATAATTTCTCATAACCATAAACAGAAGAACAGGTACATTAACACCTCAATTGGCTTCTTTTCTTAAAAAAAAATTATCTAAGAATTTTATTTTCTGTTTCCACCACAAATACAAACTTTTTTAAAGTTCTTCAACTTTAACATCACCTTCACCAAAGTATTGTTTTTTACTGACATCAGTTGAATACCCATTATAGTGGCAGGCCTTGTTTTAAGGACTTTGCCTTTGATGTTATTAATCCTCTGGTAAATAGATTTTTTTGATGTTTTCCAGATGAAGAAACCAAAGCTCAAAGAAGTTAAGTAAACCTCTCAAAGTTACATAATTGTTGGCCGGGCGCGGTGGCTGAAGCCTGTAATCCCAGCACTTTGGGAGGCCGAGGCGGGTGGATCACAAGGTCAAGAGATCGAGACCATCCTGGTCAACATGGGGAAACCCCATCTCTACTAAAAATACAAAAATTAGCTGGGCATGGTGGCGCGTGCCTGTAATCCCAGCTACTGAGGAGGCTGAGGCAGGAGAATTGCCTGAACCCAGGAGGCGGAGGTTGTGGTGAGCCGAGATAGCGCCATTGCACTCCAGCCTGGGTAACAAGAGTGAAACTCTGTCTCAAAAAAAAAAAATAAAATAAAAAATAAAAAAAGTTACATAATTGTTAAGAGATGAAGCAGAATTTGGAATCAGATCTATCTGGTACCAAGACCAATGCTCATTCCACGTTGTCTCGATGTAAAAGCCATCTCAAAATAAAGAGTAAAAGACAGTCACATTAAAATACAATATATAGGCCAGGCACAATGCCTCATGCCTATAATCCCAAAGCTTTGGGACGTGGAGGTGGGAGGACCATTTGAGATCCTTTGAATTGGAGACCAGCCTGGGCAACATAGAGAAACCTTGTCTCTACAGAAAATGTAATATTAGCCAGACGTGGTGGTATGTGGCTGTAGTCTCAGCTACTCAGGAGGCTGAGGCGGGAGAATTGCTTGAATCTAGGAGTTTAAGGCTGCAGTGAGCTATGATCATGCCACTGCACTCCATCCTGGGTGAAAGAATGAGACCCTGTCTTTCTTTTCTAAAAAAAAGAAAAAGAAAGAAAGAGAAACAAGAAAATAAAACACAATAAACAGTAATGTCCAAGAAAGCCATCCTGATTTATAAGGCACTTGAATTCCCCCCACCATCTAAACATATACAGAAATGAGGCTAAAGAAATAGTTGAGTGGGCCGGGCGCGGTGGCTCACGCCTGTAATCCCAGCACTTTGGGAGGCCAAGGCCAGTGGATCACGAGGTCAAGAGATCGAGACCATCCTGGTCAACATGGTGAAACTCCGTCTCTACTAAGAATACAAAAAATTAGCTGGGCATGGTGGCACGTGCCTGTAATCCCAGCTACTGAGGAGGCTGAGGCAGGAGAATTGCCTGAACCCAGGAGACAGAGGCTGCGGTGAGCGGAGATCGCGTCATTGCACTCCAGCCTGGGTAACAAAAGCGAAACTCCGTCTCAAAAAAAAAAAAAAAGAAATAGTTGAGTTACAAATGAGGATTTTTAGTGTATTAATTACATTTTCAAATAACATTTTGCACTTTATTTCATATATCTTTAACTGTTCCTCCATGTAGTTGATGCACAAATGAGAAAGATTTTCAATTGAGGTATCAATTATACTTCCATATACTATTTTGTGTATTATTCACTATTCCACAAAATTTAATATATAGCCATATAGTTCTATATAATGAGTATTTAATAATTCAATTAATTTCTTATTACTGACATGGTTCCAATTTTTTAAATATTATCATATGATGAACATCTTTGTAGACAAATCTTTGCCCTCCAACACCTTTACATTTATTTATTTATTTATTTATTTATTGAGACAGAGTTTTGCTCTTGCTGCCCAGGCTGGCGTGCAATGGTGCAATCTCGGCTCACTGCAACCTCTGCCTCCTGGGTTCAAATGATTTTCTTGCCTCAGCCTCCTGAGTAGCTGGGATTACAGGCAGCCACCACCACACCCAGCTGATTTTTTCTATTTTTGGTAGAGACAGTGTTCCACCATGCTGCCCAAGCTGGTCTCAAACTCCTGACCTCAGGTGATCCACCCATCTTGACCTCCCAAAGTGTTGGGATTACAGGCGTGAGCCACTGCACCCAGCCACCTTTGCATTTTAAATTGATCTTTTTAAAAAGGCACAGTGGATTTCATCCAAATAAGTGGCTCTAGTGGGGCAATCTCAGTCTGTGGCAAGTAGGTGGGAAAAATATTTTACTGTGGGTGATCCTTTCAGTCATCTCTAATCGCCCCTCAAGGTGGCTGCCTGCTTTGCCAATTTAGAGGTTAGTTTGGGATAGCATTCTAGAAGTTTGGGAACAAGGAGAGTTCCTAGAAAGCTTTATGTGTGATGTAAGTGAAGCTATGGTATAAGAGAAAGGAAAGAAATCAACTGAAGTAAGTTCTGTCATCAGATGTTAAAGCCAGGAAAGATTTAGAAGATTACTTTTTTTGCCTCTTTTCTCAGCACAGGGCCCAGCACACAGTAGCCAAAAATGACAAACAGTCTTCATCTCCATTGCCATCTCTGACTGGTGATGGCTGAGAGTGGAATGCTAGGAAAGTCAAGGTCAACGGGAAGAGTACTGAAATCACTGAGCTGCATCTTTTAAGGATGAGAGAGAGTGACAGCCCAAGTCACAAATTTGCAATCCTTTAGTAAATGTTTGAATGAATACATGGATATAATATTAAACATATAAAATCGTCATGCATTATTATATTATTTTATTTTATTTTATTTTATTTTATTTTATTTTATTTTATTTTTGAGGTGGAGTCTCGCACTGTTGCCCAGGCTGGAGTGCACTGGTGCAATCTCGGCTCAGCCGCAACCTCCGCCTCCAGGGTTCAAGCGATTCTCCTGCCTCAGCCTCCTGAGCAGCTGGGATTACAGGTGCCTGCCACCATGCCTGGCTAATTTTTGTATTTTTAGTAAAGATGTGGTTTCACCATGTTGGCCAGGCTGGTCTTGAACTCCTGATCTGGTGATCCATCCACCTCTGCCTCCCAAAGTGCTGGGATTATAGGCATGAGCCACCCTGCCAGGCCTATTATATTATTTTCTTTTGTTTTTTTTCTATTTTTTATTTTTTTTTTATAGAGAGACAGGGTTTCACCATGGTCTCGATCCCTTAACCTTGCGATCCAGCTGCCTGGGCCTCCCAAAGTGCTGGGATTACAGGCGTGAGCCACCGTGCCCGGCCATATTATTTTCTTAATACTACAAATACTTATTATTTGAATAGATAATATCATATAATTAAAATACAAAAGTTAGGAAGAATACAGAGTGAAGTCTCCTGACAAGCATCATATTCCACTGTCTCTCACTTCCCTCTTAATCAAAGTTAATTTACGATTTTTTTAAAGCCCAGGCTCTAATTCATATCTTTGTAGTCTTATGTGAAGAGGCTAAATCATCATAGTTTTCAAAAGCAGATTGAGCCTAGTAAAAACACTGAATTTAAACAGCTTGTCTCTAGCGAGCTTGTCAAAAAACAAAAACATTATTTTTCATGAGCTAGCTAGATCAAGTCCATATTTTCAATAACTAGATGAGATTATGTTGTCAATATCTTTCAATTTCTATAATTCTATTACATTCAAGGTAAAAAGGAGAGGGTGGAGAGCAAATCTCTGTGTATGAAAGCATTTTATAACTAAAAGACCATTATAGGTATTAGCAATATCAAGCTTAGAAATTTTATTTAATATTACTCTACTTATGTCATAGCTTTCACAACTGAACTTGCATTTAAAGAGTTTAATAAAGTGATAATCATCCAGGTTTTTATTTTCAATTTAAGGGAAATTTTATTCTGTTCTTATTTATTTCATAATTTGAGAGTAATACTTAAGTCTTTAAAGTTTATAAAAGGGGATGGGTATAGTGGCTCATGCCTGTAATCCCAGCACTTTTGGAAGCTGAGGTGAGCAGATCACTTGAGTCCGGTAGTTTCAGACCAGCATGGGCAACATGGCAAAACCTTGTCTCTGGAAAAAATACAAAAATTAGCCAGGTGTGGTGGCACATGCCTGTAGTCCCAGCTACATGGAAGGCTGAGGTGGGAGGATTGTTTGAGCCCATGAGGCGGAGGTTACAGGGAGCTGAGATTGCATCACTGCACTCCAGCCTGGGTGACAAAGTGAGACCTTGTCTCAAAAATAAATAAATAAATAAATTGTAAAAGTATTAAAATTAGGCAATTCTTAATTTTGAGCTTTCAGTTCTAACGAATCTGCTGTGCTATAATAGACATAGACTTGTTATTCCCTAGAAATGATCCAAACTTTTTGTTATTATTATTTTGTGACAGCATGCAAGACGACAGCATAGAAGCTTCTACTTCCATATCTCAGCTTCTAAGAGAGAGCTATTTAGCTGAAACCAGACATCGGGGAAACAATGAGAGGAGTCGAGCAGAGCCTTCCTCCAACCCTTTCCATTTTGGCAGTCCTTCTGGCGCTGCTGAAGGAGGGGGAGGCCAAGATGACCTTCCAGATCTTTCAGCCTTTCTGAGCCAAGAAGAATTGGATGAAAGTGTCAATCTGGCAAGACTGGCCATCAATCACGACCCTTTGGAGAAGGCAGATGAAACTCAAGCTAGAAAACGACTTTCTTCTGATCAGATGAAACACTCACCTAATTTAAGTTTTGAGCCTAACTTCTGCCAGGATAACCCTCGAAGTCCCACCAGCTCTAAAGAAAGCCCCCAGGAGGCAAAAAGGCCACAGTATTGTTCTGAAAGCCAGTCCAAAAAAGTATTCTTAAATAAGGCTGCTGACTTCATTGAAGAGCTATCCTCCCTTTTCAAAGCCCACAGCTCCAAAAGGATTAGACCTCGTGCCTGCAAAAACCACAAGAGTAAACTGGAATCTCAAAACAAAGTTATGCAGGAAAATAGCTCCAGTTTCTCAGATCTGTCAGAAAGACGAGAAAGATCTTCTGTTCCCATCCCTATCCCTGCGGATACCAGGGATAATGAAGTGAATCATGCCCTCGAACAGCAGGAAGCCAAGAGGCGTGAATCGGAGCAGGCTGCCAGTGAGGCGGCTGGTGGAGACGCCACCCCAGGGTCTTCACCTTCATCTCTCTACTATGAAGAACCTCTGGGGCAACCTCCCCGGTTCACTCAAAAGTTACGGAGCAGAGAAGTTCCAGAAGGAACTCGAGTACAGTTGGATTGCATAGTGGTAGGAATTCCACCACCTCAAGTAAGGTAAAAATGCCCCATTAGTAATGTTGAGTTAATGTTGCTTTCCATCTACCACGACCCTCCTGAGTGTTACCCTCTAAGTGTGTGGTTTCAAAAATTATATACTCCCTTTAAGAAAAGTAGTCAGTGTCTAAAGCAGCTCGGTCCAATAATGATGTAAACCTAGTCGTGTATGTAATTTTAATTTCTCCAGTAGCCACATTTTTAAAAACTAAAAAGAACCAGGTGAAATTAAAGTTAATTACATACCTTATTTAGCCAACATATTAAGAAAATTATCTTTCAATATATAACCAATATAAGGATTATTAATAAGATATTTTGCATTATTTTTATCATACCAGGGATTTGAAACCTAGTGTGAATTCTACACTTACAGCATGTTTCAATTTGGATGTTACATTTCCCTAGGGAATATAACCTGCATTTTGTCTGGGCACAGTGGCTCACATGTATAATCCCAGCACTTTGGGAGGCCAAGGTGGGCAGATCACTTGAGGTCAGAAGTTCAAGACCAGCCTGGCCAACATGGCGAAATCCCATCTCTACTAAAAATACAAAAAACTTAGCCAGGCATGGTGACAGGCACCTCTAATGCCAACTACTCAGGAGGCTGAGGCAGGGAGAATTTCTTGAACCTGGGAGGCAGAAGTTGCAGTGAGCTGAGATCACACCACTACACTCCAGCCTGCGCTACAGAGTGAGACTCCATCTCAAAAGAAACAAATACATACATACATACATACATACATACATACATACATAAAATGTATAATTAAAAATTCAGTTATTTAGCTGCACAAGCCACATTTCAAGTGCCCAATAACTGCATGTGTCTAATGACTCTAGTATTGGACAGTGCAGGACTACAGTTTATAGCCTAAAAAAGGTTTCTACTCAGTGAATACCTGCAGTATTTTTAAACTTTAAAGAAAGCCAAATAATAGCATAAAGACTGATAGACTTGAGCTGAGGCTAAAGTCAATTTAAAGACTCATTGTATGTGTATTAAATGTATTATAAACTTTCAATACCAGCTTCATGAACACTATGACTGATGGACAGAGAGGATATTCATCTTTTATTTGCCTACCAGGGTTGGCTTTTCTGTGAGGCAAATGTCTCATATATAAGTTATATGTAAGTTTCAGGACTCCTCATTTGCCTAGGCTACACCTAATTTTGCATTCTAATTTTATTTTACTTTTTAAAGGAGTCCTTCCATATTGATGAGCTTCAGGTCCCACAAAACCTGGAGCCAGCCTTAGCCAGCAGGGTAACATGTGCTACCTTTGATATTATAATGGAATAATATGTGAATAATATGGTTGAAGTGGATTACTTTTGTAGAGAGTTCCTGGTATTTAGAGTCCTAGAAGAATTTCTTTGTAACTACCTGATTATTACTAGAATGTGATTTCATTACTATTTCACATTTATTCTCTGTATGTAAATAGGGCATCTGGGCATCATTTTTATTCCATAATATTCATATTATAGGACAATACTAGTATTAATATTAATAATAGTATTTTTATTTATATATGCATATTAATTCAAGGGATTCTGGCCCAAAGACATATTCATATCTTGAGTTTTGCTTTTCAAAGGTAACATAAGGCAGTATCAAATATTATTTCTATAATGGCAGATACATTTAACTATGAGGTTATCCTGCTGGCCTCCTTGAGGGCAGGGATTCTGTTGTTTTTACCTTTGTGTTTTGAACACCAAGCACAGCTTTGGGCTCATAGTAGCCACTCAGAAAAGTTGAATGAGCTAGTGGATAAAGAAACAGGAAAACAAGAAACTTAACTATTTAAATCAGAGGTGAGACAGTTGGCCTAAGATGTAGCAAAGGGTTGGAACTGAAAAACACAGGGCGGTATCTGCCCTTCTGCTCTGAATGTGCCTGATGATACTCCCTGGGGCTCTGGACGGTAATGCCAGCGAAATGTCATTACAGCCCCATGGCAGATACCTCTCTGTGGCATCTGATCAGTCTAAATAAGCTGGTGAGCACTCCAGTTGTGATGCATGCAAAACTTAGTCCTGTCCAATCTATTAGTTTCTGGACGTAGATTGATCAAAACAAAAATAGACCAGATTATTCAGGTCTCATCCTACCCATTTTTCAACCATGGCAATCTCAGATACAAGAATGAATTTAATGCACCACTAAGAAATATCGGTTAGGAAGAACTGTAAAGTACCCATTCCCCACAAAGCAAAGCAATGTGGTGGCCACTCAGAAACCATTTAATCAGCCAACTAAAAATTTACAAATCTTTAAATCTAAAAGTGAAAGAAATGTACACAGTTTCCATGTAGCAATGCTAATTTTTCCTGGGAAGAATTTCTTTACTGACAGAATTCATGCCGGTATCCCAACCACTGGTTCGATGCTAGGAAATTAGTAGGTATTTGCTAAATATTTTCTGAATGAATTTGTGCTTAATTTCATGACTGCAATTATATTAAGAACAGAATTAGAATTTTCCATGTAGACTATTAGCTGTCATTTTCCTAAGCACAGACTTTATATAACTCCAATCAGAAACCAAATATTTCTTTATTTAGTTTTTACTCTGTGCTCAGCACTGTGATCAATGCAATGACAGACACAATATAAATGTGCATTCCTGCTGTCAAGGAGCTTGCAATACAGTTAAAGAAATAATCCTGGGCTGGGTGCAGTGGCTCACGCCTATAATCCCAGCACTTTTGGAGGCCGAGGAGGGTGGATCATGAGGTCAAGAGATTGAGACCATCCTGGTCAACATGGTAAAATCCCATCTCTACTAAAAAAAAAATAATTAAAATAAAATAAATAATCCTAATTTTTATAGTACAAACTTTAAGTACTGCCAGATGTCAGAGAAGGAGTGAAGGACTAGAAAGGTCAAAGAAGGTCTTTAGAGATGCAGGAGGATTTTACTTGAACTTTGAGTAGTGAAAATTTAGGTAGAAAGTTTCTCATTTATTAATTCAACAAATACTGATCGAGTTACTAAGTGATTTCACTGAGAGTACAAAACAATTGTGAGCTATTGGAGGTCAGGAACCTTGTTTTGAAACCAAATCTAAACTCTTCTGAGAGGGTGGCTCACAAACTAGTAGAGGAATCAGGCAGGCAGCAAACCAATCGCAGTGGTAGCTTAAAGGAGCATATGAGTCGCTTGACCTGGAGCACACAATAAGAAAGCATTAACACAGGAGATACAGGAGGCCCAGGGCAGAAGGGAAAGCAAGTTCAAAGCTCCCGAGGCAAGTGTTATCAGGGGACCCTAAGTAATTGGCTATGTCTAGAACATAAGGTAAAGGTAAGGAAAGATTAGAGATAAGCTTGAAGAGGTAGGTGGAAGGAATGGGTCCTTTCAGGTCAGGTCACTTCATCATATTTATGTAAGGGCACAGATGCTCTAATTATAATAATATTTTTTAAATGGCAGGGAGGACACTGACCAAACTGGAAAGGAGGGTAGAGTCAGATGACTTTGAAGAACTTTGAAAGCAAAGCAGAGTAGTTGAGACTTGGTTTCAAAACAAACTGAAAACCATTTAAGGTGGTTTATAGGGAAGTAATAAGATGAAAGGGAGGATTTAAGAAGAATTAATCTGGAAGAATAAGTCACATCTAGAAAAAATAAAGCCACAAAGCCACTTAGGAAGCTGCAGAAGGCATCCCAGGCATCCGATGCTCTGGTCAGACTTGGGTGGGTGTGGTAGGAGCGAGGAGAAGAGATGTCAGTGAGTGACATTTAGAAGAAAAGAAATCAAGCTGAACTACGTGACACACCACAGAGGAAGATTGGGTATACAAAACTTACTCTACAAGTTTGTGGAGCTGGATACTTGAAAGAAAGATGGGGTCTCCAGTAAGGACTGAGACAATGGAAAAAGTGGTTGGTTTGTGGAGAAGGTCGATGGGAATTTGAGCCTGAGGCCACAGAAGGACCATTTCCAATAGGCAGCCAGAAATGTAGGACTGAAAATCAGATGAGAGAGTAGTGGAACTAGAAACATTCCAAGGAATACCCTGGACACTGAGAAAAGCCTGACACAATATCTCTGCAGTTACAAAGGAACTGTAAACACAAGTAGCACTTGGAACCAACTTCTAGTTGGTTCAGTCCAGTGCTAGAGTGGAGTAGTATTTTGGAAACAGAGTCTCTCTCTGTCACCCAGGCTGAAGTGCAATTGCCAGATCTTGGCTCACTGCAACCTCTGCCTCCCGGGTTCAAGCAATTCTCTTGCCTCAGCCTCCCAAGTAGCTGAGATTACAGGCGCCCACCACGATGCCTGGCTAATTTTTTGTATTTTCAGTAGAGACAGTGTTTCACCATGTTGGCCGGGCTGGTCTTAAACTCCTGACCTCAGGTGATCCACCTGACTCAGCCTCTCAAAGTGCTGGGATTACAGGAGTGAGCCACCGTGCCCGGCATAGGACATATACATCTTTTTAAGATAAAGTAGTGCTATTTGGTTTGAAGAGGGGTGGGGTAGAGATGCCTGCAGCCCTACCTGCTTGTTCACCACTGTAACTCTTGGGGCATCTCAACAAGACCCAGAAAAATAGATTTTGATTCAGAGGATTTCTTTTAAAAAAAAAAAAAAAAAAAAACCTGGCCGGGCGCGGTGGCTCAAGCCTGTAATCCCAGCACTTTGGGAGGCCGAGGCGGGTGGATCACGAGGTCAAGAGATCGAGACCATCCTGGTCAACACGGTGAAACCCCGTCTCTACTAAAACTACAAAAAATTAGCTGGGCATGGTGGTGCGTGCCTGTAATCCCAGCTACTCAGGAGGCTGAGGCAGGAGAACTGCCTGAACCCAGGAGGCGGAGGTTGCGGTGAGCCGAGATCGCGCCATTGCACTCCAGCCTGGGTAACAAGTAAAACTCCGTCTCAAAAAAAAATAAAATAAAAATTAAAATTAAAAAAAAATTAAAATAACAAACTAACGAGACATTTTGGTTTGTTAAATGGGAACACCACAGTCAATA